AATTCTACTGAAAAGTCAGCGCCGTTTACCTTCAGTCTGATTGAACTTCCATCCATTTGTTTCAGCAACCGTGTGCATCGGCACCCGAGCTTACATGTAAGGACTCCATTGCATGATCTAGATATTCCGTGTATGCAAATTTTCCTTCATTAAATCTAATCTAGTACCTCTGCTCTGTCTACGGTCGTTGGGGCCTCGTACCGTTGGCTGTACTCAAGCCTCGCCCTTAAATTTGGGGATTGTAATTCAACCAAGGCCGTCAACTTTTCCAACATTGGGTTAACTGAATATTTCAGGTCATACTTTGCTAAAGGATTCAATCATATGCGGAGAGGGAAATGAAAGTTATATCCCATTAAGTTGTGCAGACAAACGGGTTGTATGCACTTCACCAATGTATTCATTTACCTTATGTCTATGAGCAACGGACTGTTGAAGATCTGTTTTCTTCACCTTGTCAGCAGGTTCGGCCATCAGCAAGGGCGTATCATGGTCGCATCTCCGGCACTTCTGTGATAATCTCGTGACCTCTACGGTCCCCTCCTTGTTGCTAGTCTTAGTATACCGATGAAGCTCGGGCTGGACTCTCCTGTCTTGCCCCAAGCATTCTTATCAACAAGACGGTCCTAGCTCGCGAATATTTTCCTTCCATGAGCGATAGTTTTGTCCCCTTAACATGCCTCAAATCGTATTTAAACTTCTATAATTTTCTAAATATGCCCAAGGAGTTTATTTTCACTATCCGCACCTTTCGCTCCTGCTCCGCTCACTGGATCGTGCCATTATAAATCGCTAATGGGTCGAAATACTATTCCCGAGGAAATATTTGCACATGTACTTGCACTACTTTTGATAAGCTGTCTACCCTTCGCCTGCAGTTACGCAAAATGACCTCTTTTTTGAATTTTCCTGCTGTACAAATGCATTTCTTGGTCACTGTATCATCAACGGGGAACTCAAAGGCGTTTGTTCATCTTTCTCTTAATAAGGCTTAACTGAGTTCTTGGCCGATTTATAGTAGTTGAAGTCCGTATAGATGGTAGGCATATAAAAATGTCCTAAGTACGTGGCAAATATGAACATTTCCGTCTTGGTTTTGGGCACTTGTTCTAGAGCTCACGCTGGTAGTCGTATGGAATATAGCAATTAATAGTTTATTTTAAGTTCATTCCTTTTTAGAAGCTAACTTTTGTCGTCAATCCGATTACACAGGTATAAATGTTACCTTAGGGCAGATAACTTAGGGACTGAGAATATTTTTTAGAAATCCGGATTTGAAACTGAAAAGCAAGACTTTGTTTCCAAAGAGCCCTACATGTAAACGAACTCGAAATTTATTTATGGCCGAACCCTAGATTGACCAATCACCCTTCTACTGTTGACCTTCAGTCTTGCGGGACAGTTGGAAAGTTGTGATCGATAAAATCGATCTTCTGCACGCTGGAGATTGTGCTGACTTCCGTAACAATCCACATTTGACGCAATGAGCTCGGGCGTGAGGCATGCATTCAGGCGGACATTTAAGGACAGACTAAGACCGTCGAATATCGTTCTCCGAGCTGCTAATTCCACGCTCGCTAAGGCCAGCAACGTTCTCAATGCAGCTCAAAAGAAATTGGACAAACAAACTAGTGCGAGCGGACTGACCAGGGAGATGATAACCAGTGACAGCGAACGGTTAACGAGCAGCAATAATAACACTGAGGACAGCAGTGAGTGTTCCAGACCTACGGACCTACTCTCGAATGCGACAACCTCTACTGCTTCATCTGGCTTCTCCAGTAATCTGGAGTACTTGGCAAACGCAAATCTGCCGAGTACGGGCCCACTTCCGAAACCGGTTTGCCGTCTAGGAGATCTACAAATAGAATGGGAGGGAGGCGACACGGGCTGGCAGCTTATACCTTTAGATTCCGCCATCCCGGAGGCGGATTTAAACGCTCACAGAGGACCTGACGATCTGGATACCCTACGAAGGACCAACGAGCATCTACGCAGAGAACAGGAACTACTCAAAACGAAGATGGAGATTCTGTTAAATTCAATAGCCGAGCAAACCGCTCTGGTCAGTATATACGAGGATAAACTGGAGAAACTGCGAGCCAAGGTCAAACAGCAGGGGTATGCACCGAAGCAGATACAATCGTTGGAGGTACTCCGATCTTCACAGATGCCACAACCGATTCCGGCACGTGATGAGTGGATAAAAATCAGTCAGAAGACTGCTTATGTGAGGCTGAAACCTGGCGGCGATGCCCGAGTAGCAAAATCGTCAAACGCAAATCAAGGTTTGATGCCGAACGTGGGAGTTGTACCCGGACAGGAAGGGTTGAAACGGTCGCATTACAGAGAATCCTCAATACACAGTCGGACGGAGACAGTGAGTGACCCGGAAGAGACCATTTCTCTGCAGACAGTCACGACTCCAACAACTGTGACAAGCTCCAGTTCCAGCACTGCAAGCAGCCGACGCAGAGGTCACAAAAATGGGTTGAATATAACAAGTGTTACTAGTGATGACCAGGAGACAGAATCCTCGGCCACTATGACAACAACGAGAACTAAGACGGTGCAGTTCGCTGATTAGAATAATCCCTCAACCCCCTTCCCCCTCTCCATAATGTTGAATAAATGATGTTCTCCAATAGGTCATACGCACTGTTACCTTCCTAGGTCTCCATGCTCTTCTGATGACAAACCTATCTGTTTAAAAGCAAAAACAAGTTTTGGTTTTCGGTCTTGAGCACTTGTGCTAGTGGTAGGTGGACAATAGATAAAGAGTTCGCTGTAAAGCCTTTTTTCGCAAACAACAACTTGCAAGGGTGCCGACCAGGGATACGTAGTCTTCCGCATTTAAACTTCCTCTAATTCTGCTTTGCAGGAAACCTCTCCAGTGGGAATATCGGATATTGATTCCTCAAAACCAGAAACAAGCCGCAATTAATACACAGGCGTCTACTTTTGAAACTCAATGAGGCCTCATTTCCACCACAAGAGCACAGTTCTCCTGCAAAGAAAAAGACTGGGAAAGTGCAAGAGTCGTTACAGCTTTTAGTCTCCTCAGAAAAGTGATTTCTAACTAGGATTAGATCAGTATATTCAGGGGTATGCAAGCGCAAAACCGAAGTGTCTACCGGAAAACACATAGGGAATTCTTGGGTGACACACCAGCGAGCCCAATCTCTCGCACCTGGGCTCTGCAGGGGCAGATAATCGGCGAAACATACGTGTCCGGGCTTTTAGTTAGAACCTGTATTGTCAGAAGGATAAATAATCGCTTTGAAGCATCTTTTCCCTGGTGCAATGTTGAAGATTGTGTAAACAGCAAAATTTATTGGATCCATTAATTTCGAGAGTGCTAATAAGTTGCTTCCTATCGTTGCGTAACGTGAATAAGTAAGAGAAAATACAAAATTGAATTAATACAGAT